ACTAATGTTTTACTATTCATTTCACTCTGGAAGACTTTTGGACTTCTTCTATGTTAGTTAACGGTTTCTTCTATTCTCAAAATCTGCCTTTTTTATTTTTTTCTTCATTTCCCCTTTTACTTTCTAAGTAAGTTTGGTTCTTACTTATATTATCAACTTGACATACGCTTCATCTTACCATCTTTCACTATGGAGCTCTGGTTTTGCTTGCAAAATCTTTCCCTCTTGTAGAAATGAACTTGAACAGTACCCAAGACATATCTTCTTTTAAAGTAGCCCATTATTCAATTGCAGTTTAATCTGTATGTGGTATTAACTATGTTTAACGAAATTGACATGAGTTTTCTGATGAGGACACTTAATGAGGGCAATCTGATTGATGTTGAGTTTATGGATTTCCAAAAGGCATTTGTTAAAGTGCCATAAAATTAGTATAAACTACTAACCTTTGATTCTAACTTATCTGGTCCAGGTCTCGCCACAGAAATTGACTCACCTCCAATTATGCATTTTAACACAAATTGCTACTCTTCTTTTTCCATAGCTAACCTAAACTTTAGGATTGAATGTCTGAAAATATCTTACTAATCTACACACTTACTTGAAGTAAAAGTTAAAGGTAACATATATTCCAATCTAGCAATCCAGATTCATCATTGTCTTTTCCTGCCTTGCTGTCTGTTAAAAATGCTCTGACTGATGAATACCAGTCCAAATTAACATTGTGCATCATCAATGTACAAAATAAGTATACTAATTTAACTGAACCTCTTGTTTCTGTTCTTGCTTATACTAATCTTACTCCTAAATAGTTTCATTCATATTTTTCAGCCTGAATTATATGACTTATCAAAATAGGATATCTCTTTGGAATGCATAATGCTATCCATCCTACTTCCAGTGAATAGCACAGCACTGAAAGTAAATTCTCTTCATCTACAGACTTGCTGTCCTTGTTACTTTGTGCGTATGGTTAAGTTTTGATTCAAGCGAAATATGTATTTGTGTATGAAAGGTGCGAAGAGTATAGAATGTGTTCTGCAAATGTTAAATATGAAGACAAGTTGCATCAACTAATCTTGTATTACATTGAGTATAGAACGGTAATTTGGTCAAGGTGAAGGAAACTATTTCCTCTCTTGACCTAACCTTAAAATAAGAATGAGGTCTTTCAGAATTGATGACAGCAAATATTTTGTCATGGAAAGGATGGTAGAAGCTTGGAATTTGGAAATTGATTGATTTTAGGGGGTTGGGGTTTAAAAATAAAGGGCATTATTACAACTGAACAGGGTGTTGGTGAGGTTGAGGTTGGGGTTGGACTGAAGGGAGCGGAGGGCTGCACATTCCGGTGGGGAGAGGGTGGAGAGACTCGGGCGATTGATGTTACTCCCTTTGCTCCAACCTTAACATCACCATTAAACCCGTCGACAAGGGGATGGGTGCGCGGTGGTATTCTGGTGAACTAACCTCTACATTGCTGAGGCCAGATGCCAACTCTCTGACGCCTCCTCCTACCGTACCTCAATCACGACACCACCTCTGATCACCAAGTCATCATCTCCCAGATTATCAACAACCTCATCACCTCGGGAGATCTCCTGTCCACAGCCTCCAACTTGACAATTCTCCAACCCACACCGCCCTTTTCTATCTCCTACCTAAAATCCATAAACCCCGCTGCCCGGGTCGAACCATTGTCTCTGCCTACCCTTGCCCCACTGAGCTCATCTCCAACTACCTCAACTCCATTCTTTCCCCTTTGATCCAGGAACTCCCCACCTACATTCAGGACACAATCCATGCCCTCCACCTATATCAAAACTTTCAATTCCCCTGCCCCCAACACCTCATCTTCACAATGGATGTTCAGTCCCTGTATACCTGTATCCCCCATGAGGTAGGCCTAGAAGCCCTCCTCTGCTTCCTCTCCCATAGGCCCAACCAGTCCCCCTCCACCGACACTTTCGTTCACTTGGCGGAACTGGTCCTCGCCCTCAACAATTTTTCCTTTGATTCCTCCCACTTCCTACAAACCAAAGGAGTGACAATGGGCAACCACATGGGCCCACGCTATGCCTGCCTCTTTGTAGGATTTGTGGAGCAGACCCTTTTCAACAACTACACTGGCACCATCCCCCACTTCTTTCTTTGTTTTATTGATGACTGTATCAGTCTGCCTCGTGCTCCCGTGAGGAGCTTGAACAGTTCATCAACTTTGCCAACACCTTCCACCACACCCTCAAATTTACTTGGACCAATGCTGACACCTCCCTCCCCTTCTTGGATCTCTCCATCTCCATCTCCAATAACTGCCTCACCACTACCATCCATTTCAAACCCACTGGCTCCCAAAATTACCTCAACTACACCTCCTCTCACCCTCCTCCTGCAAAAATGCTATCCCATACTCACAATTCCTCTGCCTCCGCTGCATCTGCTCCCAGGATGAGGCATTCTACTCTTGGACTTCCCAGATGTCCTTCTACTTTCAGGATCATAGTTTCCCTTCCTCTGTTATTAAGGATGCTCTCAACTGCATCTCCCCCATTTCCCACACTTCTGCCCTTAAACCGTCTCCCCACAACAACAAGAAGGATACAGTTCCCTTAGCCCTCACATACCACCCCACCAACCTCCGAATCCAATGCATCATCCTCCGACATTTCCTGCACCTACAATCAAACCCCACCACCAAAAAAGATACTTACCTCCCCACCCCTGCCCGTTTTCTGCAGGACCATTCACTCTGTAACACCCTTGTCAGCTCCACATTCCCCACCAACCCCTCCACCACACATAGTACCTTTCCCTGCAACTGCAGGAGGTGCTACACCTGCCCCTACACCTCCTCCCTCGCCTCTTCCCAAGGCCCCAAAACAATCCTCCCAAATCCAGCAGAGATTCACCTGCACTTCATCTAACCGCATCTACTGTATCCATTGCTCCCGATGTGATCTCCTCTATATCGCGGAGACCAAATGCAGACTCGGGACTAGGTTGCGGAGCATCTGCGCACTGCATGCATCAACCCACCCAACCTTCCTGTTGCCATCCAATTTAACTCCCCCTCCCATTCCCCTCAGGACATGTCCATCCTCAGCCTCCTGTTGTCAGAGTGACGCCTGAACTGGAGGAACAGCAACTGATGTTTCACCTTGTGAGCTTACAACCCGATGGCCTCAAATTCACTTTACCAGCTTCAAAATCTCTCCAACCCCGACCTGTCCATATTCCAATTCACCTATCCATTCCACCCTTCCCACTGACCAACCACAATAACCATCTACCTTCATCCACCTATCACCATCCCAGTTACCCTCCCCCCAGTCCTACCCCTCTTCTATTTATTTCTAGGCTCCCCTCCCCCTTCCCAGTCCAGATGAAGGGTTTCAGCCCGAAACATTGACTTCCCTGCGCCTCAGATGCTGCCTGACCGGCTGTGCTTTTCCAGCTCCACATTTATTGACTCCGGCATCTGCAGTCCTTACTGTCACCTAGAGAGTTGTGGAGGTAGACCACTGAAAGTACTTAAAGAGGAACTCGATAGATTTTTGAAATGTCCCAAAGTTGAGATCTATGAGGAACCGGTATCAAAGAGAAGTTGAGGCCTCAACAGAACAGCCATTGTTTTATAGAATGGCAGGACAGGCTTGAGACGCTGAATGCCTTATTCTTCCTCCCATTTCTTATGTCCTTACATTCTTTAGCTAGGCAGAGGCATAAAGCTGTGTGGAACCAATATCAATGGATGACGTTCAGATACAGAGAAGGCATGATCTCATTGAATGGCAGAGTGGCTTGAACGATAAAAAACCCACATCTATGTTCCTAGAATTTCCCCTAGTATGCCAAAATCATAGCTGTCCTTACTGAGCTGTGGATAAGAAATATTGCTTGCATTTTGATCTAGGGATCATTTCTATAAGAAACAGGCAGATGTCCAATTTTTTTTGTTTCAACAATTATTACACTGAGATGTCCCTTGTATTTACTTTTCTTCACTTTCACTTACTTCATCCCTGTTTCTGTTCCAAGGTTTGAGGAAGCAATGAATTAGATTTGGGGAGGACAAATAAGTTTGAATGTCTATATGATGGAGTAAAATCTTTCCCTGTATTGTCCGAGCATTGACTATCGCCTGGAACAAGTGCTTTCAGGAAAATTCAGTTCAGGGGATTTCACAAGAGTGTAGCACAGCCCAAATAAGTCTTCGTCCTTCAGTTTAAACAGAATGAAAACTCAACAGGATCTGTTATAGGTACAAGATCTCCCTTTCTTGAGTTTCTGTTCTCTGTTCCATCAAGATGATGTTTAATGTTTAACTTACAATTGGTATAGTTACGATCTGTACCTGTGACAATGAAAGGAGCAGGACATTTGATGTCAAATGATGAATTAGAAGCTTCCAGAGGAGAAATGTCCTTAATATCAACAAAATAATGAGAGAAGCGGACTGCAATAGAAATAAAGATTTTTTAAAATTTACTTATGGGAGTCACTGGCTGGCCAGCATTTAATGCCTGCCCTTAGCTGCCCTTGATCTCAATGGCTTGCTAGGCCAATTGTGAGGGTATTCAAGAGTCAACCACATTGCTGTGGATCTGGATTCATGTGTCGGCCAGACCAGGTAAGGATAACAGATTTGCTTCCCTAAAGGACATCAGTGACCCAAATGGGTTCTTCTGACAAACTGCAATGGTTTTATAAAAACCAAAAGGACTGAGGATCCTGTAAGTCAAAGACAAAAACAGAAAATGCTGAAAAATCTCAGCAGGTCTGGCAGCATCTGTGAAGAGATTTTTCTCATAGATACAGAACTCCTTCTGAGGAATGCTTGCATGACCCAAAATGTTAACTCTGGTTTCTCTCCACAGATGCTGCCAGACCTGCTGAACTTTTCCAGCAATTTCTATTTTTGGCAATGGTTTTGTGGTCATCAGTAGATTCCAGATTACTTTTTTAACCTGATTATTGTATTTACTTCTCTTTATTTGCAGCTGGTGTGGCTTGGAATAAATGCATTTCTCTTTGTGCATTTCTTTTATGTGTATGAGGATGGGGAAAAGTTTTTCTACACACGAGAGCTTCTTGGAGTAAGTTTGCCTTGAGATACCAATATTTTAGATGACTGTTTCTCTTCTGCAAATGCACTGTGGCTCATGTGTATTTTTTTTAAATTTCTGTAGTCTGCTCTGGCCTGGGCTAGAGCCCCTGCTGCATGTTTAAATTTCAACTGCATGCTGATCCTCCTTCCAGTGTGCCGAAATCTATTGTCATTCCTGAGAGGATCATGTGGGGTAAGAATTCAAATAACTCTCATTGTATGAAATGTGCATGCCTATTTACTCTTTTTACCCTAAAACCTGCAGCACCAACCAAGAGACAATTCATTGTTCAACATTATATCTGCTGTTGGGGAGTACTTTGGTTTTAATATGTGACCTATTAATGATTTGTAATTCAATTACCAATTACTACAGCTCAGAACAGAAATACACATTAGATTTTACTTTTCTCACCCATTAATATTGAAGAATGTCTCCACCCAAGTGACAGTTTATTAAAGGGCAGGTTGTAAACTGTTAAACGGGAAGTTAGAAGTTGAAGTTGTAAGCAGATGTTGTTTCAACAAGAGATTAGCTAACTGCTTGAAAGAGGTGAATTTGAGGGGATATTGAAAGTAAATGGATGAGTGGCATTAGACTAAGTGATTTATATGGAGGAGAACAATAATGCAGACTTATGAGAATGGCTCTTATGGTACAGTGTTGGTGTCCCTATCTCTGATTCAGGAGGCACTAGATTAAGTCCCACCTGCTCCAGAGGTGGGTCATAACATCACTGAACAGATTGATCAGAAAATATCTGCAGACTTACAGAGATGGTTCATTAGTGCTCTGCACCATTTCAAACTGTGTGCCTGCAAATGCTGGAAATCAGAAACAAAGACAGAAATTGTCAGAAAAGCTCAGCAAATCTGGTCGCATCTGTGGAAAGAAATCAGAGATAGCATTTCAGATCCAGTGACCCAATCTGATTGATTTCTTTCCACAGATGCTGCCAGACCTGCGGAGCGTTTCCAGCAATTTCTGTTTATGTATGTTGGAATCCAGTTTGCTTTTAAAAATGAAAAAGCCTGTTCTAAAATAGTAGCTAGAAGATCACTATTTAATCATTGAATCCCTACAGTGCAGAAAAGGCAATTCAGCCCATCAAATCCACACTTACCTGCACATTTTTGGACTGACGGAGGAAACTGGAGCACTGAGTGGAAGCAGAAAATATGCAAACTTCACACAGACAGTCAGCCGAAGCTGGAATTGGATCCAGATCCCTGACACAGTGAGGTAGCAATGCTAACCACTGAGCCACCATGCCACCCAAGATCCAAGATTAAATTTGTAGGTGGCAGGAACATGGCAGAAAGGCAAGTCCTGACTGCCATTTTAAACCCCCAGTCATAGCACTGGTGCTGAATCAAGGGGTTAACAAGACATTTCTGTAGTCTGCTCTGGCCTGGGCTAGAGCCCCTGCTGCATGTGGAAACTGAATATCCTTACACTTGCCTGAATAAAAATAAAATGTAAAATAAGAAATAAAATTAAAATATGGTAAAACTAATCAAGCACTATGCCAGTATCTCACCAAGAGATTTGGCTTTGAAATACATGGAATGACATTAAATTGCTTTATCTAAAAGATGGACATGCACCACACTCACCAGAAAAAGTTCAGGTTTGCCCATTCAAAGGTAAATATGTTGTTAATGGCATGTTAAGTCTCAGATTCCCTGTACAGGGCTCTTTGTTAAAATGGCTCTCTAGTTACACAAACTCCAGAGCAAAAACCTGCAGTTTGTGGAGAAGTGAAAACATTATTAAAGACGTGTTTGTCATTTACTACTGCCAAGAAAATACAAGGCATTTTTAGGCTAGTGGAATTATAAAAAACAATAAAGGCACAGGATCCTGCTGTACTGCTTGGTTTATGTTGTTATTGATGTGACTAAATTTACACAGCAAAAATAGTAAATGGGCACTGCTTGATAATTTGTCAGAGTTCATTCACATTAGAGAGACATAAGCATTTATCAACAGTATAACAGGAAACTCAACAAGAATCACTGGGAAAAACTGAGACCCAATGTTTGCTCCTACTTATTTGAGCTTGCACATTGGCCTAAGTGATGGCAGTAGAGCAATGCAATCTGTTTAAACACTCACCTGCCACAGTGTCTTGTAACATTTGTTTTAATTTAAAGTGCTGCAGAAGACAACTGGACCGAAATATTTCCTTCCATAAGCTGGTAGCTTACATGATTGCCCTGCATACAGGTAACTTAAACAGATTTTTCTTACTCTATTTTAATTTGTTTTATATATAAGTCTTCAAATTTTTAGGTTTTATTTCTTCCTGAATTCAAGAAATCAAATCAAATCAACTACAGAAGTTAAGACATTTTTGTGGATTAAAAGTAAAAATATTCAACATTAGAAAACTTTGGATGTAATCAAGCAATTTTGTAACTATTCAGATGCTTTAGAACAGAATATAATACGACAAGTATTTCATGGACTTCCCACCATGGAAGTGAACTCAATAATGCCATTACCTGAGAGCAATATCTGTATGGATATGGTTTGTTTTTATGTACAACAAATAAAGTAACCTCTGCACAAAATATGAATACAGTATTGTGGCAACAATGACGTTTCCATGTTCATAGGGTTTTATCCTGATGTTGGTGAATTTTGGAGAGGCAATTATCAGTAATCAGAATTGATCGTGAAATGTGAAGATGTCCCTGTGGCCTAAAATAAAGAATTGACCTTATTATTAAAGCCAATAATTGATTAACTTAATGGCATAAATAGAAGTGGGCAGGTAGACATCAGTGCAATGTTAAAAAAAGAAGCTGAGACTTCAGTTCTGTTGAAAGCTCATCAACCTGAAAAATTGGCTTCAGTGTTGATAACCCCATGACAGGTCAGGGAGAGTGGTTGGGTGGGACATTAGAGAGTTAAATGCAGGGGAAGCAACCTGCCACAGTGCACACAGTCATTCTTTTTTTTCAATAATGTATTAACATTTTAGTTTGACTCCCATAGTTTAAAATTAACTGTAACGGCACAGTGTTCCCAACAGTGGAGAAACCTGGCAGGGAAAGGGAGGGCAGACTTGTTTGACATAATAATTGCTTCTTTCAGCACTACTCATCAGGATTGTCAAGGATACCTTCAGCTTCTTCCAGTACCAATCAGCATTCTTCCTCCCAGCTGCCTCCCCTAATTACTGATTTCCTCTTAGCATCTTTCATTGATAATGACTCCCTACTGCTAAAGGCAGGCTTCAATGACTTCCCAACGTCTGGGGATTGTTCCTTAACATCCCAGACTGCTGGTATTTACACCTAATGCTCCTTCAGGTTGTTCATTTGACTGCATGCCTGGCAGGAATGGAAACGAAAGCATTTTAGTGATGCCTATTATTAGGTTCATCAGAACCTCAGTTACTGTGGCTCTGTAAGGTGCTTCAGCTATTATTGATCTCTCCTGCCCACTTCCCAATTCCTCATTCATAGAAGGGCCATACATCTGTTTCCCTCTCCACAGATACTAATGAATATTTTCTGTATGTTCTGCTTTTATTTCAGATTTCCAGAATTTCACTGTTTCTCTTTTATTAGACATGGTAATCATGTCTCTTCACTATTTCTTCAGATCCTTTAGGAGATTCTAAAAGGAGTGATGTCATTGAAAAATTAGAGAGAATAATATTTTTCTCAAATGTATCAAGTTTAAGGATAACATTAAGAACAATTGTGAATACATGATATTGACTTTGCTATAGTTTTGTATCACTTGGTATTTTACAGCTGTATATTTTATCTAAAAAAAAATTAGTACAATGCACCCTATAACCCGAGGGATCAGACTGTGTCATGCTGACTACGGTAAAAGAAAAGCTGATATAATTTTTCTTATAGATGCAGACCCATTATTTAAGTTGACTCCATAGGCCATATTTAAAGTGTACACAATCTCTTTGAACGATAAAGTAATTCAAGTAGTCTTGGTTATCACCTACATATTGTAGCATTTCTACAAGGTTATGACAAATGCTCCATCACTTCCTTCACAGCCGTTCACATCGTTGCACATTTGTTCAACTTTGAGCGATTTATGACGAGCCAAGGGTATGAAAATGGAACACTTAACAATATTTTGTCTAAAATTGGAAACAATGGAAGTTATCTGAATCCAATTCGAGACCCAAACACGGTAACGTGTAACTTTTTTTTGGTATCTATTGCAGTCACTAGACATTGTGGGCAAATTGCAGACATTTTTATAGGTGCACAAATTTTTAAAAAAGTATGATAGAATTTCAATTTTCCCACAATCCACATCTTCTTTATTTATTCCTGATGTGTGGACATTGTTGGCTAGGCACACATTTATTGTCCGTCCATAATTCCCATGGAGAAGGTGGTGCTGAGCTGTCTTCACAGACAGCTGCGTTCCATCTAGTGTTGATCCACCTACTGTGCTGATAATATAGAAGTTCCAGGATTTTGACTGAGCAGCAGTGAAGGAACAGCGATATAGTTTCAAATTGGGATAGTGTGTGGTTTGAAATATAACTTTCAGGTGGTGAAGTTTCCATGCATCTGCTGGCCTTGTACTGCGTGAGAGAGGTCATGGACAAAAACAAAGTTGCTGGAAAAGCTCAGCAGATCTGGCAGCATCTGTGAAGAAAAAAATCAATCAACGTTTCGGTTCCGGTGACCCTTCCTCAGAACTGATGGTGGCTGGGAAAATGTTAGTTTATATGCAGAAAAAAGGGGAGGGGGATGGGGTAGGGAGTAAATGATAGGATAGAGCCTAAAGAGAGAGAAGAGCAGTTGGACAGACAAAGAGTTGATAATGACCAGGCTGGGACGGTGAATAGTTGTTAACGGAGACTATTTGTGACTAATAACAGGTGGTGTATAATGGCAGACTATGTCATAACAAGGCCTGGTGTGTGGGCTAGGGTGCTGGGACATGGGAGAGTTTAGGCCCTAATGTTATTGAACTCGATATTGAGTCCGGAGCGCTGCAGGGTCCCCAAGCGGAAAATGAGGTGCTGTTCTTCTAGCTTGCGTTGAGCTTCGCTAGAACACTGCAGCAAGCAATCATGGGTTTGGAAAGAGCTGTGGAAACTATCCTAGTGAGTTACTGCTGTGTATCTTACAGGTGGTACATGCTGCTGCCACTGTATGTCAGTGATAAAGGGAATGAATGTTGAATATAATAGATGGGATGGCAATCAAGCAGGCTGTTATTTTGCCCTGCATGGTGGCAAACTTCTTGAGTGTTATTGGAACTGGGCTCATTGAAGTAAGTGGGAAGTATTTCACACACATCTGACCTGAGCTTTGTAGATTCTGCCTTGTTAGAGATGATCATTGTCTGGCACTTGTGTGCCATTAGTGAGATTTGTCACTTATCAGCTAAATACTGAATATTGTCCAGGTCTTGTTGCATATGGACACAAACTGCTTTCATATCTGAGGAGCTGCAAATGGTGCTGAACATTCTGCGATCATCAGTAAACTTCTGACTTTATGATGGACCAAAACAGCTGAAGATTTTTTTGGCCAAGCTCACTGAACAAATGAACATCCAAAATAAGTTAACCCATGATTCACTTGCCATGATGAATCTTTCCTCCTCTGTCTTAAAAATATTCAATGACCTCACCTCTACTGTCTTCTGAGGCAGAGAGTTCCAAAGTCACACAGCAAAGTGGCATGGTGGCTCAGTGGTCAGCACTGCAGCCTCACAGCACCAGGGACCCAGGTTTGATTCCACCCTTGGGCAACTGTCCATGTGGAGTTTGCACATTCTCCCCATGTCTGTGTGGGTTTCTTCTGGGTGCTCTGGTTTCCTCCTGCCGTCCAAAGATGTGCAGATTAGTTGGGTTGGCCATGTTAAATTGCCCATCTCTGTCCTAACAGGGTGACTCCATCTTTTAAAGTAATGTTCCCTAGTTCTGGATTGACTCACAACAGGAAACAACTTATCCACGTCCATTTTGTAGCACCATTCATGATCTTATTCACTTCAATCGGGTCACACCTCACTCTTCTAAACTCCAGAGGAAAGAAGCCCAGTCGGTACAACCCCTCCTTGAGAAACAACCTACTTATTCCAGGGGTATCAATCTAGTAGATCTATTGTGAATTTTCTCCAAGGCAGTAAAAGAGAGGCTCAATAGGCTGGGACTGTTTTCACTGGAGCATAGGAGGTTGACGGCGTGTCCTTACGAAGGTTTATAAAATCATAATTGGCATACAGAAGGTGAATAGCAAAGGTCTTTTCCCTGGGCTGTGGGAGTTCACAACTAGGGGGCATATTTTTAAGATGAGAGAAGAAAAATATAAAAGGGACCTGTGGGGCGAATTTTTCGCAAGGAGGGTGGTTCGTATGTGGAATGAACTGCCAGAGGAAATGTTGGATACGGGTACAGTTACAATATTTAAAATACTTTTGGATGGGTACATGAATAGGAAAGGTTCTGAGGGATATGGGTAAAGTGCAGGCAAATGGGACTAGTTTAGTTTGGGAAATTTGGTCTGCACGGACGAGTTAGACTGAATGGTCTGTTACTGTGCTGTATGAGTCAGAGAGTCTTACAGTCATACAGCACAGAAAGTGACTCTACGACCGTATAATGGTGATTAACCTCAGGGTCTCCTTGCTGTACAGAATTGCAGCAAATATATGCCAACACCCTTGCCATGATAATTTTCAGAGTCTTCATGTCAGAAATGCCCATGCAGACCAGAGGTGTCATTGTGGAATGTAAACATTCTTGAACTGAGTTCAATTTCTTGCCTGCAGTGTTTTCACATTCTGTTACTACACTTCCTGAAACATCTAAGTTTCTCTTTCATTTTAATAATCGGTCAAGATATTGTTTATTTTTCTATATTGTTTATACATTTATTATTTTTCTTTTCTAGAATCCCACTGAAGTAGCATTCACAACTTTGGCTGGACTAAGTGGCATTGCCATCACCCTTGCTCTGATACTGATGATAACAACGTCAACAGAAATTATCAGGAGGTCATACTTTGAAGTTTTCTGGTACACGCATCATCTTTTTGTGATCTTTTTTGTTGGGCTTGTGATCCATGGAGTTGGGTACGTATTGTACTTACGAATTGTCTACCATTCACACCAACTGATGTGCCATCTTTCTAATTTCAACAAAAGTTCTTTTCAGATACTAATAAGTGCTAAACAATATTTTGGCAAGAAGTATCAGCAGATGTGTATCCAATAGCAGCAAAGTGGAAAACACTACTGGCCGTATGATATGTTAAAAACACAATCCAAAATGCCCCAATCCTAAATGAGAAATTTCATTTACACATTTGTTACATTTAAAAGGAAAAAAAAAAAATCTCTGACTACCATGAAATACCTCATAACAGCCTGCAATAAACAGTAGGAGTTAAGTGTCTTTATTGTGGTTGCAGGTCTTTTGGAATTTTGCAGATAACCCCAAAGTGCACACACCTACTTGCCTGCTCGCTCATTAATTCTCTACTGTTACACGCCAGACAGATTTGCAGCAAAATATTCTCGACTGGAGAAAAGGTTCAATACTGTTTTAAGTAAAAGTAAAATACTGCAGACACTGGAGATCTGAAATAAAAATAGAAAGTGCTGGTTAAACTCCACTGTTCTGGCAGCATCTGTGGAGAGAGAAAAACAGAATTAATATCGAGTCCAAAGAACTGAGTGATTGGACTCGAAAAATTAACAGTTTCTCTCTCCACAGATGCTACCAAAGCTGCTGAGGTTCTCCAGCGCTTTTTTCATCAACAGTATTTCATATGCTGACATTTAATTTAAAAAAAACAAGCTCAAAGTCTCTTTAAAACTTTCTGACAAAAGAAGTATTTTGTGTTTCAACCATCAGACGAATTGTTCGTGGTCAAACAAATAATAGCCTAAAGGAGCATAACGCTACCTTTTGTAAGGATAGGTATACAGAATGGGGGAATATCAGACAGTGTCCTGTTCCTGTTTTCGCAGGGAATCCTCCAATGGTACGTCTGCCTTTTGATCACTTTTCAATGATAATATTTAGTTGAGAGAATGCAATCACATTAAATTATTTTCACTTTTCTAACTAAACCAACTGATCCTCTTTATAGACGTGGAAATGGGTGGTGGGCCCCATGGCTTTGTATGTTTGCGAGAGACTTGTGCGATTTTGGCGATCCCATCAGAAAGTTGTAATCACAAAGGTAAGCAAATATTCAATTGAAGTTTGTATGACCATGTCCAGCATTACCACAAATTCTTTCTGCTGTATATTAATGCTGATGTGTGAAAAGATAAAAAGTGTGCAAATTCTTTAAAATAGAATCCTTGTTTTTAATCTCCAGAAATGGATTAAAAGTTGGTGAAATGCCCCAGGAAAATTGTGTGCAAACCTGCTGTCTCAGTGCTTTGTGTTAAAAAATTGTCAGATCTGCATTATCATCCGCAATGGTCTTCACATTGAGTACATGAGCTAAATGCTGACATTCTGAAAAGATGTTAAATAGAATTTGCCAAAGCATTTGACAAGGGGAAGGCAGGAGAATTTCTTCTGCCGTATCCTTTGTGTTGTTCTGCAGTAAGTTTTAGAACATAAGCAGTTACCCAACCTCTAACACAATTTTGGAAACTATGCTGCTTGAGATCAGAGAATCCCTTGTCTTGTTCTGCAGTAAGCTTTAGAACGTAAGCAGTTACCCAACCTCTAACACAATTTTGGAAACTATGCTACTTGAGATTAGAGAAAGAGAAAGGATAGAAAATATATTTTTAAAAAGGACAAGAAAAGGCAACTAATACTTGACTGTAGGTGATATGTACATACAATGTACTTTCTCATTTATACTGAGGTTACAATTTATATTTAATATAAAATGTTACAAAATGCTTCACAGCAGCATTAAGATCAAAATACCTTCTTTTTTGGCTTGGTGTCATATTGGGTTAGATGACCAAAATTTTGCTCAAAAAGGTAGTTTTAAGGAGTTTACCTCTCAGACCTCTGTAATGAACGAAGTGAACATGTTCAGGAAGGGTATTGCGGATATTAGAGTTTGAGCATTTGAAGGTGTGACTACCAGCGGTGAAGTAATTAAAATTGGGACCCTCAAGAGGCCAGAATTAGAGGAACACTGGTATCTTGAAGGGTTCTGGGTTGAAAGAGATTACAAAGATAGGGAAGGATGATGTGGAAAGATTTGAAAACAGGAATCAGAGTTTTAAAATCCATGCATTGTTTGTTTGGGAGCCAAAGCAGTTCAATGAGCACAGGAATGATAGAGGAACAGGTAGCAGAGCTTTCTCGGAGAGCAAGATGAAGATTAGAAAGTGGGAGGACAGAGAAGAGTACATGGCAAATACAAAGTCTACATGTAACAAGGGTATGAACAAAAGATTCAGTAGCAGATGAGCAAAAACAGTGGAAAAGTTGGTGACACTATGAAAGTGGAAATGAGCATTTGCCTCAAAAATCAAAAAGGAAACTGATCTTGGGATCAAATGTGACAACAATGTCTGAACTGACTGGCTCAATCTCAGACTTCTACCTGTATTAACAAAACAGAATTTTAAGTGGAGACTAAAATCAATGGCTTCAACTTTCCCAATATTTAATGATAGGAAATTAGTTCTCAACCAATACTGGATATTGGATAAATAGTCTGATAAGTTAGCAACAGTGGGAGTCTTGTACACATGAAAACTGACTCTGTGCTTTCAATATTACCAAGGACAGCACACAGATGAGAAACAGTAGGGGCCAAGAATAGATCTATGGGGGGCATCAGAGGTAACAGAGTAACAGTAAGAGAGAAGCAATTGGAAATGATTCTCCAGCTGTGGTTTAGTAATAACCAAGTGAGAGCTGTCCCACTCAGCTGGACAGCAGTGGAGAAGCATTGAGGAGAATAGTATGGTCCATTATGTTGCAGACTACAGATGGAGCTCCAGGATAAGGAAAACCTTACTCATCTTACAGTCACACAGGATGTAATTTGAGACTTTGCTATTCAGTGTTTCACATTGATATTGAATTCAAACATAGAGTTCTGGGAAGGGTGGAAATGGATTTTGGAAGTGACAGGGAAGGGAGCAAAGAGAGGTTGGAAGTTAGATGATGGTTTTCAAAGATGGTGTCATTTTGAGGATTTTTTGAGGAGTGGAGTGATAACAGCAGATTTAGGGGAGAAAGTGACACGCCTGAAGAGAGAAAATCATTACTGATTTTGGACAACATGAGAAAAAAGAGGGGAGCTGTCAGCATTTTAATGAAGATAGAATTAAGAGTGCAGAAATTGGACAAGATTCACTCAGAGAGGGGATGGGGGTCATGGGAAATAAATGAAAGGAAAAGCTGAATCCAGGGCCAGGAAAGGGGAAAGGTTTTAGATATGGTTTGGCTCCTATGGGCCGGTTGAAGGGATGGACATGGTAGAGGCAGCTATAAAGATGGTCCTATGAAAGTAAAGCAAATTCTCTATTGATAGATTTATGTTACACAGGATTTTATGTAAGGGAATTACATGCTGTTGTGCTTAATTGTACGCTCATTTGCCATTCGCTCAAACAGTCATTTCTTTTCACAGGTTGTTACCCATCCCTCTAAAGTGCTGGAACTGCAGATGAAGAAGCGAGGTTTTAAGATGGAGGTTGGTCAGTACATTTTTGTCCAATGTTCGAAGATTTCAAGGTTGGAATGGCACCCTTTCACATTGACCTCCTCTCCAGAGGAAGACCACTTCAGCATTCATGTGAGAATAGTGGGAGACTGGACAGACAGTTTGTTCAAAGTATGTGGCGGAGACCAAAAGGAATTCCGAGAAGCATGGAAACTCCCCAGGTGAGGGAACTCGCAATTTGGATGCATCGATTTAATAGTATTTTCACTAGTCTTTATGACCTTTTAGAAACTAAATTACAGTATAAATTCTATTAGTTATCTGAGTTGTGATTTCCCCAACCTGTCACTCCCAGTAAGAAGTTGCTGTGCTAACAGGGAGTAGGGTTCTGGGAATCACAAGCTAAATGTCTGTGAATTCACAAGTTTCCCTTGTCATACAGATTGCTACCTACTCAGAACACTGATCGTAGGATCGTTCCTTTGGAACCCAGGTCCATCAGTGTTACTGACACAAAAGGAGGGATTTTAATTTACTCCACCCAGTGGGAACCAGGCAGAGAGATTTAAAATTTACAGGCTCCTTTTTCCTACTAAGATTTGAGGTGTTCACCAGAATTAGGCCAGTAGCTTATTAACAGACCCCCTGAAGTAATGTTAATGGTCTGTTGGGCTTGGCATCATGTTTGACTAGAACCACTTGCCTCACATTTGGCAGAAGACCAGAAATGTAAGCAAAATGATATAATCCTTTTCTTCTCAACACTGCAAGGAAGCAGGACCTCTCCTCTTCTGGACAACCCCTCCCTCTGCCCTGCATCCATTATCAAATCCACAACCAATCCTCCATCCACCCTACAACCTCCAAACACCTCTGTACTTACCTGATCAGGACAATTCACAAGAAATATCAGATGGATAGGAATACCACAGTAAAGGGGAAAAGTATTTATACTATGTAAGAGAAGAATGCTTATTGGTTGGCAAGTGGATTCTAATCGGTGGAAGTATTGCCATGAAGAATTCATCACTTAAGAATGACTGACAATTAACTATCAAGCTTTGTTTAAATTCTAAACCAGGCAGGTTGACTGTGAACGGTCAAGGCATTGTCCTGACAACTAAATCTATTCTGTTGATTTGAAACAGATTTAGTGTGCTTACATATTTGTTTTTGTCTGCAAAGAACAGGGCTCTTTATTAATACATATAGATTCCAGTAACCAAAGTACTCAACACTACAAGCTCAACTGACAACCTTAAAGTGGCAATTCTTTGCACACCCAGGATTATTAGCAAATGTCTTGATCATGGAATCACATTTTTGACACTGTGTTGCAGGTTCTGCAAGTGCGGGCTTGTTGGTTATGGTCAGTACCTTATTTGATCCTTACCTCAATCCACCTATTTTTGAAATGAATGCCCTACATGCCTAGCATAACACCGGCACTGAAATATTCCATATCATTAAATTGTATGAAAGACAAATCTCCTTTTTGTCTTGACAGCAGTATCCTGTTTGTGGTGAATACCACTTGTATTGTTTCTGCAAAGTAACAGTATGAAGTAGCTAGCAGTTACACAAACATGTGAGCTACCTTGTGTTTCAGACTGGGTATTTTTCATGACCAAAAGCAATGGGTTTAGGCCCTTTCATGATCTTGCATAATACATACCAAGAAATGGTCTGTTCAGGGTAGCCATTATCCTGCAGGATGGCTTTGATCCCCCCATTTCAGCATCAAATATACAAATTCGGAAAAACTCAGCAAGACTGGCAGCCCATTCTGAAGAAGGGTCACTGGACCTGAAATTTTAACGTTGATTTCTCGACACCGATCCTCCCAGACCTGCCGAGATTTTCCAGCAAACTCTGTTTTTGTTTCTGATTTCCAGCATCCACGGTTCTTTCATTTTTTTGTGTCAACGTCAAGTATGTTGTTTTCTGTTTATTTTGGTGTTTATTACAAATTTGCCTGATGAGTGTAAAATGAAATATTTTGACAAGATGTATCTTTTTTTCAGCAACACTCATGACCCTGAACCTATTCTGTTTGATGCATTGACCAATCCATTCTCTGAAATCTCTCTTTCCAGCATTTTATTAAAGATGCTGATCAATCAAAACGTTCTCAGCACTAACCTGTGCTTTCTTCCTTTGGGAGACCCTGTTAGTAGTTGAGATACTTCAGTATCAAAGAGATTACAATTACAAGCAGGATCACTTTTTAACTTTAACTTTTTGTTTCAGTATTACAGTTGACGGTCCTTTTGGTACAGCCAGTGAGGATGTGTTTTTATACGAAACTGCTGTCCTTGTTGGGGCAGGGATTGGAGTTACTCCTTTTGCATCTATCCTCAAATCGGTCTGGTACAAATACACTCACTCTGATCCCAATCTGAAACTGAAAAAGGTAATGACACCAGAAATACATTTACTAAAAGAGATTCATTTTGTTTGCATGAATTGATTAGCGGGATGGAACTGATACTTGGTTTTGATTCAAAGGTTTATAACTTAAATTAAAATAAAAATGGGTCTTAAGACACAGTAAATTACAACAACAGAAGTAAAGGAATATTTTACAGCGAAGATCCTCTGGAATTATTGGGCCTAGAAATGTGATTGTATAATACAGGCAAATGGGAGATATGCTGCTCACACCTGTCATCCTTCAGGTTGGCATTATGTCCATTCCCTGCCACCTGTTCTGCCCATTTTATTATGAGTGCCATGCAGCCAGTTGGGCCAGAGTGTTTGGGGTCATGCCAGGATGCTGCAGTTTTTAACCAAACCTTTAAGGCTCACAACCATCCTGGTTACCCACAACAGCTCCCTGAAGTGTTCTCAATGGTTCAGCAGTTTTTCACCTCCTGTAGTAACTGAGGAAATAATAAGAGCACTTGGAGACACAAACAAGTACAGACTGGGACTAAGGACTTGTACAAAGCTGTTTCATACTGCTTCTTATATTTAGACCCACAATCAATTGAGTTTCTGGACTAAGCTTCTTGATCTATATTTGGTGTAGGCATTGACCTTTAATGGTGAAGTGAGGGCATGACTCATACGGTTAGACAGAAGGAAGGAAATTGAATGGCGGTAGCAAGGACTATTTTATATGGCTTGTGGGACAGATGGTGTATACTGTTTGTGAGAATAGGAGGAATAGTAAACTTATCCAAGTGATTTGGGTAATTAGGGTTGATTCGACTCTTGATCTTTCTCCGCTTCATTCTCCTCCTCTTGTATGTCTTCTTGCCCAGGTACATTAGGATTGGCACTTCATTATCAGATATTAAACTTCAAAAAGCAAATGACAAAAGTCAGACAATGACTCAGTCCTGACTCTATAACTCCTCCTGAATGGTCCAGAAGTCCAAAAGATTTGAGCGCATCATTAGTCATTAGATTATGAGTTTTGTTGATCATGTTTTTGGTAGCAGCATGGCCCTCATTGTAGGACAATATTGCCATAGGGCTTGGTTTCCTAAGAAGAGTGATAAGCCATTTGTAAAAAAGATAGACTATGGACTCAGTAATCAACCTGTGATCTGAAAGTCTAGCTGGAAGAAAGGTAGCACAGATGAAGGTCTCTTCAGTGACAGAAATAATGTCCAGTGTTCCTCTGGTAAGCACCTCGCAAGCGTTTAATCCCCAACATAGAGTTGAGTGAAAAAGAGGAGAGTCTCTAACCCTGACTCTGGGAAAAATATTCTAACCCAGAAAGATAGGCAGGTTAAAAATCATCTCAGGATGCCTACTGCCTGACTACCATCCGAGCAGAATCAAAAGGAAAATCAGGCCACGCATTTCTAAGTCTGGATGGTCAGCAATTGAGCAGGTTATATACTTTGAATTGAGTTGATGGATTGGGATAGATAAAAACTGATCTGTCAATGATATTTTTAATCCTACGCCAATTTTAGAGTACCAGTTGGTATAAAAACAGAAAATGCTGGTGGGTTGATACATTTTGCCAGCTTAAAGCCTAGGAATCAGCCCAGAATTCCCACTAACAAATTATGTCGGATGGGGATGGGGAGGCAAGGGTTGTGATCATGGAGGGAAGGAAAGTTTAGGGAACAGCTCCTGCTTCTCTGGGTCCTATAAAAATAATTGAAAGCATACTTTTTAAGACCATTTTCTCTTACTTTACTATAGGACTGCGCACATTCTGGTTGAGATGATTGATTGGCTGACTCATTGCCATGGAGAAAGCAATAGGAAACTGCAGGTTCCCTATGCTTTCTGTGATTCACAAAAAGCATAAAGCTGTCAGTAAAAGCAAAGCACAGATCATGCTCAAACACTCCATGCTTGCAAAACCCAAAATTAAATGTTCATTCTTAGCTGTAATTCTGTAATTGGGTAACACTTGCTGCTGAACAGTCTTGATTGTGCTAATAGCAACATTAACAATAAATTTAAGATCATTAGTCAATCCCATAACATGCTTCTTTATGCTTTGCTAGAAGTGACATATTTTAATTTGCAAAGATCCATTCTTACCAATAACTAAAATATGTTAATACCTGGTCCCTTTACTCAATTACCTGGAAGTATGGCAAGTAGAACAGAATACATACAGAGTGGAAGCAGGCGATTTGACCCTTTGAATCAACACCGACCCTCGAAAGATCACCCAAATCCCTACCCTATTACTGTAACACCGCACCTCCCATGGCTAACCCACATAGCCTGCACACTACGGGGCAATTTAGCATGGCCAGTCCACCTAACCTGCACATCTTTGGACTGTGGGAGGAAACCGAAGCACCTGGAGGAAACACATGCAGACAATGTGCGAACTGCACACAGGCAGTCGCCCAAGGCCGGAATCAAACCCAAGTTCCTGGTATCGTGAGGCAGCTGTGCTAACCACTGAGCCACCGTACCGCCCTGAGTCTAGGGAGTCTGTTGCTCCCTAGTGCATCCTTCATAGTCATGTTTCAACCAAATTGCCAATCTATCAGCATCCTTTTGTCTAATAGTAGAAATTGCTGTGATCATTTGAAATTTAGCTTACTTGTCTTGCAGAATACAAGACAAAAAAGCTTCAGCTATATGGTTTTCTTTTCAGCAACAGACTCTTATTTCACAACTTGGAATACGTGTTCAGTTTTGGGTACATAAAACCACCACAAAATTGACGTACAGTAGTAACAGGAAATATTTGGTTCAGTTAAAACCAGAATTGCCTGGTCAATGTAAATGTGCATTATACTAATAAGGAAAGCATGTCCATTCCAGGTAAATTTAGAGTTAGTCTTTTCTCCAAGTGACAGTCACACTTTGCAAGTGAGCAGGGGAACATCAAAGCATTACAAGTTTTTTTAAGCATTCAACAGTTCTGTGATGCAGAAATCTACATCTGGGTCTTCTCAATAATTTGAAAATGATAGTTTGTGCTCCAGGGACAAATGGAAGGGCAGGTTATAAGTGGGATTTGTGAATAGATAGTTGAAATGGTAAAAGGAGTTGGAGTGAAATGATCTATATTCCCTTCTTAGATCTACTTCTATTGGCTATGCCGTGAAACCAGTGCCTTTGAGTGGTTTGCTGACCTCCTCCAGTCGCTTGAATCACAAATGCTTGAAAGAGGCAATGCGGATTTCCTGAGCTACAACATTTACCTCACTGGATGGGATGAAAATCAGGTAATTATTTATTATTATTGTAGTCAAACTCACCCAGCAATCTTCATCATAAAGGTCTGCTTAAAAAAGGGACAGATCTAGACTTTTGTTCATTTCTTCCTAAGTCTTCTAATAATCAAACTGCGGTTCGAATACATAACTGTGCCACAAAGACCCTGAATCGTTCATTGGGCTTCATAGTGATAGCTGCACAAAGTGGGAAGATCCTGGATAAAAACCAAAAGAACTGCCAATGCTGTAAATCAGGAACAAAAAAAATTGCTGGAAAAGCTCAACAGGTCTGGCAGCATCTGTGAAGAAAAAACCAGAGTTGACGTTTCGGGTCCAGTGACTCTTCCTCAGAACAAAGACCCTGGATCTGATTTACAACAAATAAATTAGCCCATTTCATGGCAGCAGGACAGGTTTCAATATGCCCGAGCATTCTGGATCTTTGCAGAGGCAAGTACAGCTAGGATTTCTGCTAATGACCTCCAGCCAGGCATAAATTGTCATACCAGTATATCAAATAATATTGCCTCTCATGTAGCACCACTAATTAAATCTCTGTACAATTCATCATATGAGCGCGTATATATCTTTCAGTTAGTCCGTGAATTTTAATTGTGGGAAAGAATTTGGCAAGTGCATTAGTGTATGAAGTAAGTAAAAGCATAATATTTGCCAGCTTTTTGGGTGCACAAAAGATTTGGTGTAAAAGATTAATAAGGTATGTGCTAAAAGTATATATTACACCTTGTACATACTTTGGTTAATTCATTATTACAAAGATAATAGTCAGAAAGAATATTGAAAAGTAAAAGTGACTAACTGTTGATTTGTGAATGGATAAGGACATGGCAGATGGAATATAACGTTAATAAATGTAAAGTTATTCATTTTGTAAGAAAAAATCAGAACAGCAGAGTATTTTTTAAATTGAAAAATGTTGGAATGTGCTGATGTCCAAAGGGATCATTGTTCCTGAGTTACTAAAAATTAGGGTACATGTGCAGCAAACTATCAGAAACATAGACATAAAAGAAAGGAGCAGAAGTAGACTATTCAGGTCTGCAAGCCTGCTCTGCCATTCATTATGATCATTACTGATTGTTCAACCTTTTTGGCCTGCTGCAGTTGTTTAGAACCTTGGTGAGATAGCACCTGGAATATCATGTACAGTTTTGAGGTGTGGACATGCTCAATGAGCTGGTGGGTTTGGTTGCAAACGTTTTGTCACCCTGCTAGGTAACGTCGTCAGTGCGCCTCTGGTGAAGCGTCGGTGTTCCGTCCTGCTTGTTATTTATATGCCTCAGTTTGTCGGGGTGATTGGTATTATTTCCGGCTTTGTTTCTCAGTGGTTTGTGTACAGGATCTAATTCAATGTGTTTGTTGATGGAGTTCTGTTTGGAATACCAGGTCTCCAGGAATTCCCTGGTGTGTCTCTGTTTGGCTTGCGTGATTATCGATGTGTTGTCCCAGTCGAATTCATGTCCCTCATTGTCCGTGTGTAGTGAGACATTCATCGAAAGCTGTTGTAGAGTGGTTGTTGATTTGTGGGTTACTCTGATACCTAGGGGTCTGTGTAGTCTTGAGGTCATCTCTGACATGTCCTTGATGTACGGTAGGGTGATTAGTGAGTCTGGTCGTGTTGTGTCTTCCTGTTGTAGTCTGTCTTCGAGGTAACTGCGGTTTGTGCTTTTTGGGTATCTGTTATTTATATGCCTCAGTTTGTCGGGGTGATTGGTATTATTTCCGGCTTTGTTTCTCAGTGGTTTGTGTACAGGATCTAATTCAATGTGTTTGTTGATGGAGTTCTGTTTGGAATACCAGACTCCATATAAGTGTTCCTGTTCTGCTTTGTGTAGTTCCAGGTTGCAAAGCAGAACAAGAACACTTATATGGAGTCTTCAAAAGAAATGGATACCCAAAAAGCACAATCCGCTGTTACCTCCAAGACAGACTACAACAGGAAGACACAACACGACCAGACTCACTAATCACCCTACCGTACATCAAGGACATGTCAGAGATGACTACAAGACTACTCAGACCCCTAGGTATCAGAGTGGCCCACAAATCGACAACCACTCTACAACAGCTACTGACGAACGTAAAGGATCCCAAACCCAAAACTGGCAAAACTGGGGTCATATACAAAATACCATATTTGGGCTGTAAGAAACACTACATAGGCCAAACTGGAAGAAAATTGACTATACGGATACCTGAACACCAATTAGCCACCAAGAGACATGACCAATTCTCACTTGTCTCACTACATACGGATAACGAGGGACACGAATTCAACTGGGACAACACATCCATAATCACACAAGCCAAACAGTGACATGCCAGGGAATTCCTGGAGACCTGGTATTCCAACCAGAACTCCATGAACAAACACATTGAATTAGACCCTGTGTACAAACCACTGAGAAACAAAATCAGAAATAATACCAATCACCCCAGCAAACTGAGGCATATAAACAACAAGCAGGACAGAACACTAATGCTTCACCAGAGACGCACTGAAGACATTACCTAGCAGGGTGACAAAATATTTGCGACCAAACCCACCGGCTCGGTGAGCATGTCTACAACCTCATCCACAACCCAAGCTGCAAATCTTCTTGAAAACTTTGAATATGTACAGTTTTAGTCTCCATATCTAAAGAAGTGTATATTTACCACAGACAGAGTGCAACAGAAGTTCAACAGACTAATCCCTCTCATGGGAGGATTGTCTTTTGAGGAGAGATTGAAGAAGCTAGGCTGGTATTCTCTAGAATTTCAAAAAATGAGAAGTGATCTAAATGAAACTTAACAAAATTCTTATTATGCAAGAGAGGCTAAATGTGGATAAAGTGTTTTCCCTGGTTGGTGAGCTAAAAGCTAGGTGATATAGTTTTAAAATTAGAGGCAGACCATTTAAGACTGAGTTGAGGAGGAATCTCTTCACTCAGAGGGTGGTGAATCTTTGGAATTCTCTATCCCAGATTACTGTGGAAGCCCAATCATTGAGCATGTTCAAGACAGAAATTAATAGGTTTCTGGATATGAATTATATCAAGAAATATGGCGTTAGTAGCAAAATGATGCAGTAGGTGATCAGCCATGATGCGTTGGAACAGTAGAGCATATTTGATGGGTTGAATGGCCTACAATTGCTTGTTTGTTCCTATGTATCATTAGTATTTGTCTAAAGCTGAATACATAACTGTGGCAAATTGATTAGTGATTCTGACAATGTGGATAAATTCAGTTTTTCACTAAGAAAAGTTTGATTTGACTATCAATTTCAAATTGAAAGTTTCTATTGATCTAGTCAGCCACCTTCAAGGGTTTTTTTCTGTTGATGATATCTAGTACATTTTAAACCATGACAAATATATAAATAGCAAATAACTGGTCACATTACACGATAAAACACGGAATCATAGAATCTTACAGCACAGAAGGTGGCCAAATGACCAGTTATTTGTGCGTTCATTCCTTAAAAGGCACATCTGATTTAGTTCCATTACCATATCTTTATCTCCATAACCCTCCCAACAAGTCATCATTTCAATTTGCCTTTGAATTCCCTATGCAATTTCCTCACCCCTCATACTATCCTGATAAACTATATAATCATAGAATTTTACAGTACAGAGGGAGGCTATTTGACCATTGTGTCTGTACTGCCTCCCAAGTGAGCTGCCCACCTAGTTCCATTCTCCAGCCTGACCCTGATAGCGCTCTAAATTCGTTACTTTTAAATATATATACAGCTCTCTCTTATCCAGATCACTTTCCTCTTGCGATGAGTCAATAAAAATATCAGTCATTCAAACCCTTTAAGTAGCAATTGTAGAAACTGTGAAAACTTTCAACCTCTTATCCTTGTGTGTAAATAATTATTGTACAATAGACAGCAGAGATCAGGTAGTCAGAGATATCGATCAAGCAATGTTTTCCTTGGAACTCGTGTGTTTCATTACTAGAATGAATTTTTGTGTTCTTATCGAAGAACACACAATTAGGTTTGAATGATGAAATGGTGTTTCCACTTATGGGAGAGAGTAGAAATAGAGATCAGTTTAAAATTAAGTGATCTCCATTTAAGAAAGAAATGAGGAGTTTTTTGTTTCCCTCAAAGGGTTGTTAGTCTGTGAAATTCTCTTCCCGGGAGGCTGAGATATAGATTCTTGACTGATAAAGTAGTCATTGGATATCGGACATAGGCAGGAAAGTCGAGGACACAATCAGATCTTAACAAATGGCACTGCAGAATCAAGGGGTGAATGGCCTACGCCTGTTTCAAGGGGTCATGTGGCACAGTAATGGTGTCCGTAACTCTGGACCAGAAGGCCTGAGTTCAAGGCCTACCTGCTCCAGAGATGTGCCTGAACAGGTTGATTAAAAGTACCTACTCTTAATCCAGGCTTGTATATAAAGGAGTCCACCTTGAAGTATTATCAATTTCCATCAGACAACAGGATAAGTATTGATGGTAAAATTAATATTCGAATGGTGAACATTTTGTATCAGATTGCTTTCTCTATTATTTTAATCACATAAGGGGGGATTGTTTCAATGTTTTAGCACTTGCATGATGATGTCAATACATCTTTTGCCTTGTTGTATCTATCTATTTGTTTTATCCTACTTGCCTTGGTAAATTAGTTCTAGCCGCTTGTATATTTTTAGAACATGCTGTCGCCCCTCAAGCCAGTGATAGACGTTAATGCAGATAATAAATTTTATTTTCACCCCTGTTAGGCCACTCACTTCGCCATGCACCATGAAGCCCAAACAGATGTCATCACAGGACTCAAACAAAAGACTTTATATGGGAGACCCAACTGGGAGAATGAGTTTAAAAACATTGCAACTAATCATCCAAGGTAGGCCTTGGGAACAGAGCAATGGAACCTGAAATGTTGGCTTATTTTGTTTTTTTCGTTTTTCCAGTACAAAACTACCTTGAAAATGCTAAAAGTAAAATAGAATTCTGAAAATTATACGAATGACACATTTATAACCTTCATTGCTGCTATGGTTTCTAGAGTTTATTAGTCTGTGGCATTACGTTGTTATAAACGCTACTTAAAATACTTTAAAACTTTTTCTCACAGTGAGACAGCAATCTCTGAATGACTTGCATCCTGTGATGTAGCTCACAAGTAGCAAAAAGGGAGAACAGTCATAATTTTCATTTCATTCCATGGGAAATACAAACTGAAAAAACAGCAAAAAGTAACAAAATGCACTAGGTAGACAAAAATGGGTCTTAGACAAAACTTTCCCACTAAAGTAAATATAACTTCTATTTGCTTGCAAGTTATAAGAAATGACTGTTAGACATCAGTACTGTTATATATTTAATGGCTTCATTTCAAATTCTGTTCATGCATGTTGTACATTCAGAATATTGCCATTATTCAAAGAATCTTATTTTTTTTCTTAAAATTGCCTGAAACTTGCAGAAGAAAGAGAAAATAACGAATCTGCATTCTCCAGTCAGTCACAAATGGATTTTGCAAATAACCCTGAATCAGGTGCTAGCCCCTTACTTTTCCTAAGCAACTGCCTCCACACCATTGTTTAACAGACACCCTGATGACCACAGGGCATGCTAACAATATGGTGTGAAGAGAATCTCTAGACTCCAGGCAGCCATGATAAAAACAGCTGCATTGGGGTCCTGTGGAACTGTGGTTGTTTCCCTCCCTCTGGGTCTCTTCTGTACAGAGCTGCCTCATAGTATGTGCAAAAACTATTAAGAAGGTTGCCCTAATCAATTTCTAGACCTATCCATCTGCCAAAAGAAGCTGATGTGGCCATAGAGAAGCTTCTATACAAATTAGAAACTACAAAGTACAAGGTAAGGTCACCACAGTCCCAGAGAGCTGCTCTATCATTAGAGGGAGTTGACTGGTGGTTGTTTAACCCAAGGGTCACCATGCCTTAGGTGAAGGGAGAGGTTGAGAAGGAAGATCTTTCATGGTAGCCTTAGCCAGTAGCAGGAATTGGTTACTCCGCATTGTGAACCAGTTGTCTAGCCAAATGAGGTAACCAACCCCCTACATTAGAAGATGCAATACTCCCAACTGGACTTTCCTTTAACTATACAATTTTTCTTAGCAACTGTCTGGAAAACAACATGTCAATGCAGACTGTTCACATATAAACACATGGCTGTTCAAATGAAAATGAAAGGCGGTCACGAAACAGCTGTAAATCTTGTTACAAACTGTAACCAAATAATTAAATTTACCAAACTGCTAAATGATGAAAGCACCAACAAGATTTCACTGTTTACAATTGCTGCAGCGACACAACAAAAACGTACCATGAATTAACAGGCAAATTATACGTCAAGTAAAAAGGTAAATTTCACATTAAGGAGCTGAAATGAAAAATGTATTTGTTCCACAACAACAAGCCCTCCCCTCTTCAGCCTACGTGGCATTCACCGCCGTACAGTTTTACAACCTGTTCTTTATTCATGCAAGCTAGGTCAGGAGTCCTATCCAGCAACAGCTCCCACCCTCAAATCCCATGAGTATGTTTATGATTAGCAGGATGCATTTGGATGAAATCTCTCTTCAAGCTTTGCAGTTCTGATGACGTAGCTTTCAAAAATTACTTTTTAACTGATCAACTAACGTTACCCAGTACACAATCCGGTCCTCTGGTACAAACCCTCAGCTCTTTCACATGGATTAACTATTTGCACCACCTTTTGAGATCCAGCCTGTTTTAGGTTGTCATATTTCACTTCCCCAAGAGCTTCCAGAATTCTATTTTTCTTCTTACTGCCAAACAGAAAAACACATTTTTCATTGGAAGAGATTTATTGGCTTTTCCTCAGATGAATGCTGTGTTCTTCTTTCTATTTCTGTCTACAATATTTTTGTGTCTATATCTTTAAATCCACCTTCCAACTCTTCTGTCTGTAGACCTGCTTTCTCCCTTTGGTCTTTTTCCTTCTTGATGATACTGCTTCTGGGTTAGATGTCTGCAGGTCACAGGGATCACTAATGCTTACTAAGAAAACAATTAATCGCTTTACAAATGATGCAAACTCTTAATAGCCTTTTTTAGATATGCTTCAAAATGATTTCAGATTCACAGATGGTTGAAAGGAATTCTAAATTTTCCTTACTGTACTGCTTCAGTTGTAGTCACAATCTGAAACTAATTTATAGTAATGCGCACAGAAATGTTCTTGATGTGAACAAATGTGATCAAAATAAAGAAGCTCTGCTTCATGAAAAATAAATTACTTTTAGTCACATAGTCACTGACAAAACTAATGATTCCCATTTACCCCAAAAAGTCGGTTCTACTTCCCAGCTCAATCCCAAAGCTCATCAGGTTTACTTCCTTAGGCTGACCACACAGGTCTTTTTTTGAAATCATTGCTTCCTTTTCCATCATCATCTTGGCAGTGAGTCCCCAGTTATTTACATTCATCCTCTATATCTTGCTCAAAGAACTTAAATCTGTGTCTCCTAGTCTTTGTACCATTAGTAAATGGGAACACTTTTCTTTCAAATAAATGCAAAATACTGCAGATGCTGGATATCTGAAAGAAGACAGGAAGATGCAAATTCTAATGAGCATCATTGGCTAAGCACTCTCTTTATGGATAACTTATACTGTAGGCCACAAATCAACACACTTCCTTGTTCCTTTTAGCACAATTAAAAATGCATTTCACATATATACTTCACACTGTCTATTGAATAGACATTTAATTCACCAGGAAACAGTCCAAGGTGATTCGTAACTCCTGAACATTTACTTCTGTTTTTTCCATTTCTCAGCCTGGGAATTTACAACCTCTGAACTATCATATAGGATCCTCTAATTCTATGAGCCTCAATTTTATTAACTAGCTTCATCTAGGATTACTAGCTTAAGAATCTCTAAAAAATGTGTTATTGTATTGTTGAGTATCAACTATTGGCTCATAGTCAGAATATTTTGGTTCCAACCCCATAGTAAAGATCAAATTTAGTTGACAATTTTGATACAAAATGAGGGACAATAAATGCCATTTTTCAGATAAAACAGTGAAGTGAAATGGTATCTGCCTATGTTGGTTGCTAATGATTTGAACAGAAGTGAGACATTTCCCCAAGAGTTCTGTCCAACATTTTCCCTTATGGAATAGCAATGATAATCCAATCTTGTGTTTGTTTGTGGAACATTGCCGCACAAAGTGGTTATCAAATTTCCTACATTTCCAATGCAGGACAGGACCCACATGTACTCTGCGGACACATTTTGTCTTCTATTGGCCAATTTCATAATGCTCTTAAGAGAATCCTGAATTTTACCCTTCCAGCTAAATAGTAAACACATGTCAAAAATAGGTACGACTATATTTTTTAAAAAGTAAGGAGACATCATTGAAATAAATATCTTTTATTTTTCAGCATTAATGTGGGAGTCTTCCTCTGTGGACCAGAAGCTCTGGCTAAAACATTAAATAAGATGAGTATTGCTCATTCATCTGCTGATCCAAGAGGCGTGCATTTCATATTCAACAAGGAAAACTTCTGAATTCTATTGATGTCACTTTTTTCATTGATTCCACGCTATTTTTAACTTTTTGTGATAAAGGAAACTCAGATATCATCATCATGCATCTACATTAGCTAGCATCGTCATTAGTTTTTCAATATTTTTTCAAATGTTATTCTTGACTGTTCCTACCACTAGCCTGTGCATAAAAGCGTAGTGCAAATATCCTCATTGTGAGAAAACAGATTACAAATTAAATTCTTGCCCATGCACACAAATGAGTTCAAATTCATGCCCAGTACCTTTGATGGCACTGTACATGAGATATTTGCAGTAGACATCTGATTTTGTGATGTGATTTCATTGAGAAGTTTACAATATATTCTGGTCATTTATGGGCTTTCAGTATCTGCAGATAATTCTGAAACTTTGACATGTTGGAAAATAAGAAGCTCAAGGACCAGCTCAAGCTAATGGAGCAACAACTGAAATCTGTTTTTCGTCACATTGAGGTAATTAGAAAGCAAAAAGCTTTAAGGCAATAGTTCAAATGTAAATGGGCACAACCTCATCACCCAATAAGGGTGTGCAAAGCTTCTGTCACATGAACAAATTGCTTTATCTTTACCAACTGCCTGCAAAATAGATACTAACAAACTGTTGACGTTTCATATTGAGTTTGTATATAAGAAAAAAACAGCTGCAAATGCCTAGTCCTCAGAAAATGAAAGTATTGTGTGTACAATGTGGAGTCAGGCAAGTTTCCAATTTTAGATAAAACACCAACTGCATTGAATGTAACATAGTACTTCTGTTTGTAATGTCAATTATGGGATTAAAGAAATACCGAAGTAAAAAATTCAATGATTATCATGTCTGATGTTTGATTTTGATGGCCAAGATCAGAAGATGAGGATGATTGTCTATGGTTTTTTACACAGATAATTTCTGTCACTTTCTCGGATTAAAATTAGAAAAAAACTTAAAGGGAAGGAGAACTCAAGAGTTGTTAGTAATGGAGGTAATAGGACCCAAAAAGAAGGTGCAAAAACTGGCATAAGGGCACTTTATCTGAATGCTCGGAGCATTCGAAGCAAGGTGGATGAGTTGACGGTGCAAATCATGGCAAATGGGTATGATTTAGTGGCCATTACAGAGACATGGTTACAGGATGGTCATGACTGGGAGTTAAATATCCAGGGGTATCAAACTTTTCGGAAGGACAGACAGGAAGGTAAGGGAGGTGGTGTTGCTCTGATTTTTAAGGATGATATCAGGGCACTAGTGAGAAATGATATAGGTTCTACTGAACAAAAGGCTGAATCCATTTGGGTGGAAATTAGGAATAGCAGGGAGAAGAAGTCACTGATAGGTGTGGCCTATAGGCCACCAAATAACGACATCGTGGTGGGGCGGGCAATAAACATAGAAATAGCTAATGCATGTAAAAATGGTACAGCAATTATCATGGGGGATTTTAATCTACATATCGATTGGTCAAACCAGGTCGGTCATGGCAGCCTTGAGGAGGGGTTCATAGAATGCATCCGCGATAATTTCCTTGAACAATATTTAATGGAACCTATGAGGGAGCAAACTATCCTAGATCTAGTCCTGTGTAATGAGGCAGGAATAATTAATGATCTCACAGTTAGGGATCCTCTCGGAAGGAGCGATCACAGTATGGTCGAATTTAAAATACAGATGGAGCGTGAGAAGGTTAAATCCAGTACCTATGTCCTGTGCTTAAACAAAGGAGACTATGAAGGAATAAGGAAGGAGTTAGCTAAGGTAGAATGGGAGCAAAAACTTTATGGTGGGTCAATTGAGGAACAGTGGAGGACTTTCAAAACAATTTTTCACAGTGCTCAGCAGAAATATATTCCAGTGATAAGGAAGAACTGTAGGAAAAGAGAGAGCCAACCATGGATGTCTAAGGAAATAAAGGAAAGTATCAGATTGAAAAAACACACACACAAAAAAGCAAAAAGTAGTGGGAAACTAGTAGACTGGGAAATCTTTAAAGGCCAACAGAAAGCCACAAAAAAAGTTATAAAGAAAAGTAAGATAGATTATGAGAGTAAACTAGCTCAGAATATAAAAACAGGCAGCAAAAGTTTCTATAAATATGTAAATCGTAAAAGAGTGGCGAAGGTAAACATTGGTCCTTTAGAGAATGAGAAGGCTAATTTAATAACTGGGAATGAGGAAATAGCCGAGACAATAAACAGTTATTTTGTGTCAGTCTTCACAATGGAAGACACAAATAACATGCCGAAAACTAAAAGTAAGAAGGTTATAGCAGGTGAGGACCTAGAAACTATCATTACCACTAAGGAGGCAGTGCTGGGCAAGCTAATGGGGCTAAAGGTAGACAAGTCTCCTAGCCCTGATGAAATGCATCCCAGGGTACTAAAAGAGGTGATGGGGGAAATAGCAAATGCACTAGTAATTATTTACCAAAATTCACTGGACTCTGGGGTGGTTCCCGCAGATTGGAAAACAGCCAATGTAATGCCACTGTTTAAAAAAGGAAGTAAACAAAAAGCAGGTAACTATAGGCCAGCTAGCTTAACTTCTGTAGTGGGGAAAATGCTTGAATCTATCATTAAGGAAGAAATAGCAAGACATCTGGATGTAAATTTTCCCATTGGGAACATCCAGCATGGGTTCATGAAAGGTAGGTCATGTTTAATTAATTTTGTGTAATTCTTTGAGGACATTACTTGCATGGTGGACAATGGGGAACCTGTGGATGTGGTGTATCTGGATTTCCAGAAGTCATGTGACAAGGTGCCACACCAAAGGCTGCTACATAAGATAAAGTTGCATGGTATTACAGGTAATGTATTGGCATGGATAGAGGATTGGTTGACCAGTAGAAAGCAAAGAGTAGGGGTAAATGGGTGTTTTTTTGGTTGGTGGTCAGTGGCTAGTGGTGTGCCTCAGGGATCAGTGTTGGGACCTCAATTGTTTACAATTTACATAGATGATTTGGAGTTGGGGACTAAGTGTGGTGTGTCAAAATTTGCAGATGACACTCAGGTGAGTGGTAGAGCAAAGTGTGCAGAAGACACTGAAAGTCTGCAGAGGGATACAGATAGTCTAAGTGAGTGGGCAAAGGTCTGGCAGATGGAGTACAATGTTGATAAGTGTGAGGTCATCCATTTTGGTAGGAATAACAGCAAAATGGACTATGTTTTAAATGGTAAAAAATTGCAGCACGCTGTTGTGCAAAGGGACTTGGGTGTCCTTGTGCATGAATCGCTGAAGGTGGGATTGCAGGTGCAGCAGGTAATTAAAAAGACAAATGGAATTTTTTCTGCCATTGCTAGAGGGATGGAGTTTAAAAACAGGGAGGCTATGCTGCAGCTGTAGAGGGTCCTGGTGAGGCCACACTTGGAGTACTGTGTGCAGTTTTGGTCTCCTTAATTGAGAAGGGATATACTAGCACTGGAGGGGGTGCAGAGGAGATTCACCCGGTTGATTCCAGAGTTGAGAGGGTTGGATTATGAGGAGAGACTGAGTAGACTGGGCTTATACTCATTGGAATTCAGAAGAATGAGGGGAGATCTTATAGAAACATATAAGATTATGAAGGGAATAGATAAAGTGGAGGTAGGGAGGTTGTTTCTGCTAGCAGGTGAAACTAGGACTAGAGGGCATCGCCTCAAAATAAAGGGAAGCAGATGTAGGACTGAGGTCAGGAGGAACTTCTTCACCCAAAGCGTTGCGAATTTGTGGAATTCCCTGCCCAGTGAAGTGGTTGAAGCTACCTCGCTGAATGTTTTTAAGGCAAGGCTAGATAAATTTTTGAACAGTAAAGAATTAAGGGTTAAGGTGAGTGGGTGGGTAAGTGGAGCTGAGTCTCAAAGATCAGCCATGATCTTATTAAATGTCGGGGCAGGCTCGAGGGTCCAGATGGCCTACTCCTGCTTCTAGTTCTTATGTTATGTTATGTTAAAATATGTCACTGTATGAGTATATATGGATTCTGTGGCTGGAGTTCAGTGTTTTGTACACCAAGGCCTGGAGTAGGCAACTTCAGGAGTGATTAACTCCTCAACCCCATCAGTAAGAAAGCCTGCCGGGTGAGGCATCAAGCAGATACTTATATGATATCCTGAGAGTTTCCTGTCCAGTTAGGATCCATGCCACTGAAGTCCCACCCTTTCCTAAGATTGCCACTCAATCAGTGACTGGCACACTGAGAGCTAAAGAGCATTGCCAGAGGCACCGGCTGTGCAGCCATGACGGACTTCACCAGTGAGTGATTTTTCCCCAAGGAAGAGGTATTCACGGGGTAGGCATGTTGAAACATCAGGGAAGTTCTAGGCAAGAGCAGCGCAGTGGCTTTCAATGGCCATTCCACTGACTCCTATTTCTTCCTCAACTTGGGTCAAATTGAGGACCCCCTTCCAACATGGAAGGTAGGCAATCCTGGCAGTCACTTTTCTCGCTGCATAGAAATGCAGATAATTGGGGTGGTGACAGGTTAAGATCTTTAACTTGCTTTTCATTAACTGCTTAAGGATGTTAATTGGTTGCAAAGTGGGAAGCTCAACTGTGAACCATTCAATCCAGGATTTAATTGCTGATGTTGCAGGATGGACATGAATAATTATCCAGGGCGAACCTGCCTAATTATTTGGCCTTTCTGCCACATTCAGCAAGGAGAAATCATGCCAACATTTTTGTCTATTTGTAAGATACGTAAAGCAACCTAATGTCCAGTTCAACACAGGCTCCCTGCCTATCCTCTTCTTCCATTGATTGTTTGTTTGGTTTGAACTCCTTCCTACACTTTCTCTGAATGTTTACTCTTTTCTTGCTCCATGTAGTCCATTTGTGATACTTCCTAGACCTCTCTCTTGTCATTTCAGGGAATGAGTATTAAGCAGATACTTAATAGAAACCCATTGATTCCCACAATTATCTGAATTATGCTTCTTTCCACCTGACAGACTGTACGATGCCATTATCTGCTCCCAAATTCTCAGTCTCCATTGCATCTGCTCTTTCAATACTAACTCTCAAACCAAGGCTTCCAAAATGTCTTCATTTTTTCTTCAGCTAAAGACTCACCATTTCTTACACTTCTATGCTCACTCCTTCACCTACCCATTTTTTTTCGAATTTTTCCCGTCAGCCCTCTGATTGTCATGTGCCATGATAACTTTTGCCATTTCACACATGTTGTGTTTCTAATTCACACACATATGAACATACAAATTGGGGGGAGTAGGTTATTTGATTCTTCGTGTTTGCTTTGTCATCTGATAACATCATGACTGATCTGATTATGGCCTTAACATTACATTCCTGTCTAGCCTCTATACTCTTTGACATCTTTTTCAAACAAAAATCTATCTAACTCAGCCTTAAAAATATATAATAACCCAGCCATCACTGATATTCAGGGAAGAGAATTCCACAGACCAATGACCTTCTGAGACTCTTTAGCACTTTACAGGTCATTCTATTAATTTTCCTCTCTATATTTTTCTTCTTCTTGTACTGTTTTATTTTAAATATAGCTTCATCTATACAACTATCAGTATGGAAACAGGCCATTTGGCCCAACAAGTCCGCACCAACTTTCCAAACAGCATCCTATCCGAGAGATAGTAGGAACTGCCGATGCTGGAGAATCTGAGATAACACGGTGTATAGCTGGATGAACACAGCAGGCCAAGCAGCATCAGAGGAGCAGGAAAGCTGACGTTTTGGGTCGAGACCCTTCTTCAGAAATGGGGGAGGGGAAAGGGATTCTGAAATAAATAGGGAGAGGGGGGAGGCAGATAGAAGATGGATAAAGGAGAAGATAGGTGGAGAGAAGACAGACAGGTCAAAGAGGCAGGGAT